ACCTGAACCGCCACCATGACCTGCATCATAACCACCTACTGGAATGTGGCCAACTATTTCATCAAAGGTGAGGAGGGCTCTAGCGGCGGAACATATGCCGACTCCTAAAAACAAAAAGAAAACAGCGCCAAGAACTTTGTGGATGCCCATGGGAATGATTTTCGAATCCCACAACGACCATGGCTCTGAATGAGAGAGAAGATGGGTATTTATAGGAAGAAACAGAGTTCTGTTTGCGTAGAAAGTGGCTGAGGCACATGTAAAAGAGTAAGTCGAGACCCCACGGTGCAGCAATACAGGAACACCAGCCAAGCACACCATCACTCACGCTAGTAGCCTCACTCTCGCCAGCTAGTGTGCTTGTGCTGTCCTCCATCTCTAACACTACCAAACTCGTTGTATATCCATACATCGTCATTCATGAGATAAAAAGTTTAAACCTAAAACCTAACTTTCTCTTATCTTCTATATTTTCCAGAGTGGTAGTGATCCGGACTAATCTCCAACAGCTTCCTTTTATAAATTTGCATTCAACTATCGGAAACTAGAATTTATGAATTGTAATGTATGATCGCTCTCTGCTGACAAAATATTTACAAGTTAATGCTCATTTTTCACCCTCTGAATCATCATGCAATATCCATTAATGGGTTTACTAGTTCATTTTATAGTTTCTTCCTGATTAACTCGAAGGAGAAGAAGGAAAGGAATTGCGGGGACACCCCAAAAAAAAGGGATTCGAAGTTTTCAATCGTACTACACCCACTAGATCTGCAATGATGACAACAGCTGATCCATTCCAGCATAGATAAAACCAGTACCTTTGACCCCATAAAAGATATTGGAGTTACGAGTTACACCTTTTGGCGCCCCATAGCCATAGACGCCAATGTGTAAGTAATAAGACTTTATGCAAAACAATAAAGAAAAGAAAAAAAAGATTCAGATATATTCTACCATTTTAAAGCAGTGCTCATTCATCCTTTGTATTGGATACATCTTTTAAAATCCTCCTATTATACAGCAATATCAGTATATAGAAGAGAACAAAAATCTTGTGACTTCACTTGGTGTCTTATTTGATATCTTCTTTTATAATTTTCGTCGAAGTGTTCTATTTTATACTATCAATTAAAAAATTAGTTTTAAAATTTTTAACTTTAGATATTAGACCATGAGTCCTAAATTCTAACATTAGAAATATATAATTTAACTATAAAAGTAACATTAATATAAAAAAATTTACTAAATACTTAACATAAAATTATAAAAAATTGACCAAAGTAGACATTAAATAGAGCAGGGATTTTTGTTTTAGAAAATGAGGTTGTGTTCTACGTACATAGTCACACCGCCAACAATATCTACCCTACTCCAGCCCGGATTCTCTGCTTGCGAGATGGATTCCCCGCTGATCCACTCATGCCGGCCCATTGGAAAATCAGAGAAGCGGGCCATGGGGAAATCCATCACAGAGTATTTGCACGCCATGACGGCCTGCCTGGTTTCCGCCGGCTCCCGAAGGTGTGAGCTTGTGGAGAAGCTAGGAGATGTCAAGCGGGTTTTATCTGCTACTGTGATGCCCATTGTTCAATGTCTAATCTATGTTCCATTTCATGGAATCAAATACGAAGAAATTGTTCTGCACTCTATATATGATGGTAAGACAAGGGGAGACAACATTTTCCACATCTAGAGACAAAAATTGGTGCATTGTAAAGGGAAAAAAAACCAGGCATTCCCTGCTTGTAAATATGGGAAACAGAAGAATTAAGCATTGGGATGATCAACAATCCCTTTCCTCTTGGATCTGCCTGTTGTCTGTAGACCATAGTTGCTTCAAGGATTGGATTATTGGAGTTAGCCAAAAGCTGAAAGATACTGAAAAATTGCATTTTGTGTACGTTGTAGTGTTCAAATTATCCAGTAATCCATTTCAACTTGATTAATATATATTAATGCATATAAAATTTTGATTGCTAATATGAATACCAAACATACATAGTGTATGTTTAAAATCACTAGGAAAATATGAATTCATATAAATATCATATGATACAAACTTCTAAGTTCATCCATTTGGCTTCCAAAGTTTCCTGCAATACCTTTAACTTGGGGCATTTTCTTACCCAAATTAACCTTATTTTTGTTAATAGTACTAGTCTTAGTATAGTGTCACAGTGGTAAGGATGCGTGCTTTTGGAAATATATATTTTCTACATAATTTTTTATGAAATTAAATTTAAAATTGTGTAAATATGCATTTAAAATTAAATAAGTTCCAAACTCACTTCAAATATTTTTGAAAAAAGAGCAAAACAAATTAAAAAATATAAACTGAAGATCATGATGATTCGCTTCCAAAAGGAAAAAAAAAATTAAGAATATAAAAATAAAAAGTGGAATTAATAAGTTACATAAACACTCAATATGATTTAAACATTTAAAAGGAATGATAAAAAGCAAAATTGAGTGTGCAGCTAAAAAGCTATTTCTGGATACCCGTATTGGTTCGGAGTAGTATGGGCATCAAATATAAGTTTAGTGTTTCTCTTTAAAATTGCTTCTCCTCACACAGTGGCCTAATTTTCCAAAGTCCAAACCTTCCTAAAAATGTAGCAATAAGATTGAGATCATTATGGTATTTATTTATATACCCATATCATGTATACACATAGCAATTTCCTTAATAATTAGAATGCGAAAAAGGAAAATATTAAAGAGATTTTGTCATATAAGGTCTAGCAATAGCCCCATCAGCCATCAAATTCTTCTAACTAGCCAAAAAATGTAAGTTAATCATCATGAAGATTGAAGCGTTTCTTTTCCTCTCTCCTGTTGTTGTTTAGTTGAAGTAGATTAAAATTTTAATTAAAATTAGCATCACAAATAATGATGCCTCTTTCCATCTTTTCCATTCCATGGAATCAAAGGCAAAGATACTGTTGCATCACTAGAAGAAAACATTCTGCACTTTATATATGATGGCAGCAGAAGGGCGGCAGGCAAAATCTATGGTACATATTTTCCACATCAAGAGACAAAAATTGGTGTCATGGTGACATAAATTGCACTGTAAAGGGACCTGGCCTGACATTCCCTGCCCTGCTTGTAAATATGGGAAACAGCGAGGCACAGAAACAGAGGATATAAGGATCAACATCTCCTTTCCTCTTGGGTCTGCTTGTTGTCTATGGACTATAGTAGGTTTTAAGGATCTGATTATCGGAGTTAGCCAAAAGCTGAACAATATTGACAAACCGCAGTTATTTTGTGTACGTTTATACTACTATAGCCATGTATAATTCAAGTTATTCCATCCAGATCATGTATAATTCAAGTCATCCCATGCAGATATCATTAAGATCATGCACGCCTTCAAATTTGTCAGTAATTTATTTGTATTAGATTAATAGATATCAATATATATAAAATTTGGACTGCTAAAATGCATAAGAACCACATACTTGGTATATAACTGAAATGACTAGGAAAAGATGATCATATGATACAAACTTCTTAAACCATCCATTCGGCTTCCGAAGTTTCCTGCAATACCTTTAACTATATGAGAATTTTCTTACCCAAATTGCTTTTATTTTTGTCAATAATAGTGGTAAGAAAATCAATACTCTTAGGATATTGTAACACTGATAAGGGACTTTCAAGGGTAATAGCCACCACCCTTGCCACCCCCACTACCACTTCCATAACCTCCACCATGTGCACCTTTCCCGCACCATATCCACCACCACCTCCACCACCAGAGCCGCCGCCGCGCACCGCCACCACTTGCACCACCACCAAAACCTCCTCCGGCTCCTTCTCACTACCATATCCACCTCCATGTGCCCCTCCAGGGCCATATCCTTCTCCACCACCTCCACCACTCCCACCTCCACCACCACCACCTCCTGAACCAACACCACCAGCACCATACCCAGAGCCAGCTCCTTCTCCACCTCCACTTCCATAACCAGAAGCCCCACCACACTCCTCCACCGCCGCCATGCCACCACCACCTCCATGTCCACCAACTCCACCATAGCCAGCACCACTACCAGCTCCCACTCCTTCGCCACCTCCACTACCATATCCAGAAGCTCCACCCGCACTACCTCCACCACCGCCATTGCCACCACCACCTCCATGTCCACCGCTCCTCCATAGCCAGCACCACTACCAGCTCCACCTCCTTCGCCACCTCGCTACCATATCCAGATGCTCCACCCGCACTACCTCCACCACCCCCATTGCCACACCACCTCCATGTCCACCGGCTCCTCCATAGCCAGCACCACTACCAGCTCACCTCCTTCGCCACCTCCGCTACCATCTCAGATGCCCACCCGCACTACCTCCACCACCCCATTGCCACCACCACCTCCATGTCCACCGGCTCCTCCATACCCAGCTCCACCTCCTTCACCACCTCCATTACCATATCCAGAAGCTCCACCCCATACCTCCACCGCCACCATTGCCACCACCACCTCCATGTCCACCGGCTCCTCCATAGCCAGCACCACTACCAGCTCCACCTCCTTCGCCACCTCCGCTACCATATCCAGATGCTCCACCCGCACTACCTCCACCACCCCCATTGCCACCACCACCTCCATGTCCACCGGCTCCTCATAACCAGCACCACTACCTTCTCCACTACCACTACCACCTCCATATCCAACAGCTCCTCCTACATCTGCATAGGCACTGCCACCACCACCTCCTGAACCCTCCAACTCCTCCAATGAGGCCAGCACCATATACAGAAACGGTGCCACCACCATGTCCAATACCTGGAAGGTGAGAAGCTACTTCGTCAAAAGTGAGGAGAGCTCTAGCGGCGGAACAGATACCTACACCTAATAAAAGAAATAAAACTGCACCAAAGAGCGTCTTGATAGCCATTGGAATGTTTCGAATCCCACGACCTTGGCTCAGAATGCAAGTGAATGTGAGTATATATAGGGATTACGTTGGAAACCGAAAACCAAATGCGCGTTTGCTGCATTGAGAGGGTTAGGAAATAGCACATGCGAAAGGGGAGTTGTGGGTGCCCCACAAGATGGTCCAGTCGGCAGTAAGACACAAGTTTAAACTCACACTAGTAGACCCACTAGTGTGCTTTTGCTGGCGCCAACATTTATTTGAACTTAGCAGTCATTTCCACAACTTCTTGTAGGTAACAAAGCCTGCAAACATAATCTTCTTTATCTTTTCCAGTTTGATGGATATATGAGTCAGACCTATGGCAAGTATGGTTAAGCGGATTGATATAAATATAACTAAATTATAAGCAACTCACAACAACTTTTTTGTTTAGATAACATGAGCCATCTAATGAACTTGACAATAATATTATTTATCTCATTATCTGCTGATAGGTTCTCCTATAATGCACCATATTCTAAGCCTAATTTTATTGCTTCGATCGTTGAAAAGGGAACAGCTGATTCAACAGTGCGATGATTGGGGTTTAAATGAATATATAACGTTATAAGGGTGCTAGAATTAACATTAGTAATATAAATATTTACTAGTGAAGATGTGATGCATGAGAGGATAGGCAATTGAATTGATTCCATAGTGGTGGGATAAGATTTTATGACAAGAAAACACCATGACAGGTTGATAGTAATTGCTCTATAGATTTTCTAAATAAGGAACCAGTTTGAAAAAAAGGTTCCATTTGCTATTAAATATTACTTCGTGTATTGTTCTTATTGGTTGATGTGAGATGAAGAAAAGAATTATGCTGCGAATGTTTTAAATAAATGAAACTAATCTAGCTAGTTAGTGCAGGAAACATAGTGCCACCATTTTGAGTGCATGGGCTTGAAAACCTGTAAAAATCTTGAGGATTTTATCATGGAAATTTGATTCTAACTCTGTATCATTTACAATCTTGATAAAGTTCATTGCTATTGTATATTACCATATGTCCAGTACCAAGTCCTTTCAGAAGCCTGCAACCATTTTCATAAGATCACTGAAGTAAAGAGGTAATCACTGATCAAAGAGAGATGATGGCAAAAAAACAGAGTAATCAATGCTTTGTCACTTCTCGGGAAGCAAGAAGAAACCTCCATATATACCATCATATTTTAGCGGAGTGAAGTGAAGAAATAACTTCCATCAGTATCACATACTATTTCTGAAGTGAAGGGAGTCCCCTGTTTCCATCATCTAATTAATAACTTTTGAATGATAACTTTGTTCTAGAATCCGATTGAATATGGGCAAGCTGACAATGACCACCTTCCAAATTGGCCTATCCTGTTTTAAAATCCTATTTAGAGTAAGCACCACTTCGAGAATAGCCACCCAATTATCTCAATAATTGAAGCTAAATTTTGGGAGGGGGGAAGAACAATTACGACCTTTCGATTTGCAAGCCAGTCACTAGTTCATCCCTCCATGTGAAATTTGGTGCTCTCCAACCAAGCACTGAAAGGAAGAGGTACTTGCTACTTTAGTAGGTGTAGAAATACCTTAATTAGCATTGTGGATGTTATGTTATTATCCACCATATTAAGCAAATCTCTATCAGGATTCGTCTTAATAGCCAATAAGAAGAAAATAACTTTCCGTACCTTCAACAAAAAGAATGAGAAAAGAATAGCCACCATTACCTATTAGTGCAGGTAGAAGTCTGCTCACTTGCCTTATCGATTACTTTCACATAGGATCCAAGGTCAAGCTTGTGTACAACTTGCAGTGTCTATTAATATGGAATTGGAGTACCTTTTTATTTTTTTGGTATTGCCCAAGGCAGGAATATTCATAACAGGTAAATATCAGTTTGCAAAGATGCAAATCCTGCTTGAGTCAGCGCTGCTATGAATCCATAATGTATGAGTCTACTATATATTGCCTGTAATCACCCTTCAGACTAGACTAAACCTATACAGGTGAAATGGACTGCAATTAATTTGTATGCCAACTGGAAATTAATGTTAGTAGGAAATTAGTGTGAGATAAATGAGTCTGGCCTTGACAAATGTTGTAGTCTTTAGAAATGGAGGAAATGAAATATTTAGTTATTAACATTTTGATCGAGAGCCAAAACGCATACAAGATCAGATAAGGCAGAACTTGCGACAGGACCAGACCAGTGAAATTTTAATTTGGCAATGTCTTTGTTTACAGACTTTTCCGCTGGTTAATGCTAAATTATATGATTCCATAACCATTTTCAGGTTTCTGCCCCACCATATCGAAAACTAACAGCATTCTGTGATTCAATAAGCGGAATGAGCTGAACTGCGAGGAAGCCATTAATGTTGTCTCGTTTTCAGGTCTGAAACCCTTTCCTTCATTTCAAAGACATCAGACTCTGTATCTCCAACAAAACAAGCTACTCCTCCCTTTACAACAGCACATGCATGAGAGAGTAGTGGGAAATCACATGCAAGAGCACCTCCCCCTTCTCATCCCTCCATTGGTGGGGTCACTCCATCTCATTTTGCTTGGCTAGTGGGATCCCTTTCTCTTCCACGCCATTGCGAGATTGATACCAAACATTCTCCTCATTACATCATCTCTGACGTCTTTAACAATACCAAGATCGAACTTGTTCTCTTTCTGAGACAATGTTCATCCAGCGTTTTTACTTGGCAAAAAGATATCTTCTTTGTTTTTGACTTATAAACAGGTTCATCTCTTTCACTTTTTTATGTTCTTTTTAGTGTTATTGGTCCGTTCCTTGACCTTTTCTGGGGAGATCACCCTTTAGAATCCCAAAGACTTGATTCAAAGTTCAAACCCAACATTGTGAAATGTGGATACAGCCCCTTAGAGAGAGAGAGTCATGTGAGCTGCTGGGGCAAAGCTAATCATGTCTAAATTAAGATGTGAACTCCAGGCCAATTCCCACCTCCATCTGCACCTATGCATTGGTTGAAATGATTGCCAATGGGAGCATTCGGAAAACCAAGAACTGCGATAGTTGGGTACAATTGGACCATTTTAAATTCGTTTTCTCTATGTGGATCCTATATATCACTAATAGAAAAACCACCTCTGCGTCTTCTCACCTCTCTGCTTTTCAATTTTTTTTTAATTTGTTATTTCTGTCTGTCTGCATCTCTTTATCCGATGAAACACATGTTTTAAGTTCTTTATTAGTTTAATCAATGTGATACATGCAGCCGGAAGTTGTTCATTTTAAATATAAAACTCTGGTTGGACGATGTGGTTTCTTGCCTTTTAAACCGATTCATTATCCGCATATTGGCAAACAATTACCATGCGAGATTATTTATCTCCTTAATTTCATTTTAAAAAATGTGGAGAGCCCAAAGTAAAGGGGAAATCCGGTCTAGTGCTAGTTAGGCTTGGAAGAGCAGATCAGATACTGTCTATCAGGCCTGATCAACTTTCAAGATTGGCTCATGTTCGACATTTTCTAGCCTATATCAGCCTTTGGTGTTTTCCTCAAGGGAGTGATCAAACAAGCGAATGTGGGTTTCGTCCTAGCCTTCTAATCCTGACATTTGGCTTTAACCGTGGATTGCCCAATGCGATTTCCTGTCTTTTCACTTTTTACATATCCTCAAATTTCAAGCTGGTTTTCTTTCATTAGCTAGGACTAGGAGAAACAGGATTTGGAAAATGGTGACTTCGTGAAAACAAATTGGGTAATTCTCCGAGATACACAAAGATATTGCTAGTAATCATCTGATTCTGTCAGCGGAGATGGCAATGGAGATGCAAACACAATCCTGCAGTAAAATCTAGAGCAACTAGAAAAGGGAGATCCAAGATTGAAGGGTTTGATTCAAGCAAGGAGTTAATCATTGAAGTGCAAATTGATCTTCAAAAGAGAAAGAAAATGCAAAAAGAGCGGTTCATAATACTACTTCAGAACTAACTGGAACTTGTAAGAATACAATTATTTAATGTATGTCCAACCTAAAACAAATAAATAAATAAAAAGACAATTATTCATTAATGGTAACGAAGGATGTAATATCGTGAATAATGCTACTTCCCTGAGGCCTAACGTCTCTGTTCACATACCCTTTTCCCTCTTTCTCTCCGAACTCGTTCAAACCCACCTTCCCTCTCCTCTCCCACAACCTCTCTCCGAAATCACTATGCGCGAAATACGCCTCTGCTGCCACCGAAACGCCACCTTTCTCTTCTTCATGCACTTGAATAGGCAGCCTCTCGTAGTGTCCGATGCTGGTGCCTTCCA